CTGATTTGAATTTTTCTAGAGCCTGATTGATCAATTTTGTTACCTCCTGTGCTATGGGTCCAGGGAGTCCTGTTGGTTCACTATCAGACTTTTCATCCTCATTTGTCCTACTATTTGCTATTGGTGAACTGGATATTTGTTTTTGTGTCTTGCTTAAGTGTTTTCTCATTTTTATTTTTATTGTTGGGTTGTCCTTCTTTAATTTCTGGGTATTACTTAAATCTTCCTAATATAGTTGCGTTTTAGCTTTTGAGTTTCTAATGACTCATAGACATTCTCGTTTTCATAATATCAGAGAAAACAACTCTTTAAATCAATCACCACTCTTTGTCCCAATTGATACATTCAGCAGCCCAATAGGATCAGGCACAGCTTGCCAACTGACCACTTATGGTAGTCATTAATGTATCACCTTTAACTCATGTGAATTAGATTAATTTCAAGAAGCAGCTCATAGTATGTTTGCAGTGAATATTCTTTTCAATATGGCATCTTTACCATTTAGGATGGGGGGTTCGACTTAGAACAAGAGGATTAGATAAGTGAAAGAATTAGAGCAGGTTTGAAGTGAATCCAGAGGTTGTAGAATTACCTTACTATCTTTACAAAGCTATTAAGTTCAGGGGGGATAGAGAGAGTGCAGGAATAAGGACAGGAATATATCCCCTTAACAGTAACAGGCGCTTGCCTTCCCTTGAAGGTACAGAGCCATGAGTGAGGTAAAATGACTGGAGAAAAGAACATAAAGAGAAACCCGTCCTAAAAACAAAAAATAAAAAAAGAAGTCTGAGTTCTTCAGGAACTGGAATAAAAAGGGAGATGAGGGACACTATGGTGGAGCAAGAGACTGAGTTGGAGAGACAGGACAGAAAAAAGAAAGAAATTTTAGGGTGGAAAGAGGAAAAAAGAGACAAGAGAGAGGGAAAGAAAAAGAATTTGAAGGTCCTCTTTCAGGCTATCTCTGATCTCATATTATACCACATGCACAGTCATATGCGGAACCCAATCCCCTGGTTATAGCTAGCCAATGGCTGTTCCTCACGACTGAGACTGAACACAATCTACAAAGCCTAACTTTAGTTTCCTTACCCTCAGGGTTGAACTCCACTCCGTTCTATTACAGGTTTCCCCTGCCCTTTCTTTAAAGATGATCAAAGTTCGGAGCTCAGAAAACTACCCTTCATGGGAACCTATGCCTCTGCAGAGTTGGTCTAAGGACTGGCCCGATCAGGAGTTTTGAGAACGGGGGGGGGGGTCGTGTGGGTGTTTCAAGGGCGCCCGCGCGGCTACCTTCCTTCCTGGGTCTGTTGTCGCGCAGGCCGGGAGCTCACGCGCACGCCGCCGGGTGATCGCAGACAGGCAGGTAGGCAGGCAGCTGAAAAAAACCCCCTCTGGGGTCCTTGGGTCCTTCCTGGGTCTGTTGTCGCGCAGGCCGGGAGTTCACGCGCAGGCCGGGAGCTCACGCGCACGCCGCCGGTGATCGCAGACAGGCAGGTAGGCAGGCAGCTGAAAAAAACCCCCTCTGGGGTCCTTGGGTCCTTCCTGGGTCTGTTGTCGCGCAGGGGGGGAGCTCACGCGCAGGCCGCCGGTGATCGCAGACCTAGCTGTTAAGATTTTAAAGTGCCCTTTTTTTCTGTTCTCAGATTGTTATATTTTAAAACTTGACTGGCTTCCAATAGGACAGTACTAATGTGGCTTTTTTTTTTTAATCAACAAAGTACAGAAAAGAGCAAGTTGAGCATATAATCAATTTAAGAATTCCTTCCTGGGTCTGTTGTCGCGCAGGCCGGGAGCTCACGCGCAGGCCGCCGGTGATCGCAGACCTAGCTGTTAAGATTTTAAAGTGCCCTTTTTTTCTGTTCTCAGATTGTTATATTTTAAAACTTGACTGGCTTCCAATAGGACAGTACTAATGTGGCTTTTTTTTTTTAATCAACAAAGTACAGAAAAGAGCAAGTTGAGCATATAATCATAATTTAAGAATTTGCAATGTACAAGAAAAAAAATTAGGCACACTAATCAAGCATTAATTCAAATTGAAACCAAGATATATTTATCAAATTGTTGAAATTTGTAACTTGATTTCTTTTGTAAAATCTCTTAATGTCTGGTAAAGCACAGTTGCAGTTTCTCTGGCTTTATTTTGGCAACAGGCTGATAACATAGTGCGGGCCTTTAGGAAATTTACATATATATTTGTAGTCAGTTGCAAAAACAGAGTTATATTTATTTTTTCAAGTTTCCTATTTCTGTACTTTTTTCTGATATCGGCAGCAGATTGAATTATAAAAATAGTATTCATTAGTTTGCCCCAGATGATAACCTTGTTCCAAATCAGCCTAATTTTTCTTTTGTCTAGAGTTCTCTCTGGGGGCCAAGACCGGCTTAGCTGAGGCCATGATAACTCACAAAGCTTCCTGTGCATCTAGTTTTAGTTTTATCCCATATATAGTCTCCCACAAATCCTTTATCAAAATTCTGAATCATGCACCCAAGAACAATCGGTTTAGTATTGGCTTTCCCCATGATCACTGGCATTCCCTTGTCTGGTGATGCAGGACAAAGGACGGGGTACCATTGAAGGGAATGGCCTCACTCACAGGCCCTCCCACCTGGCTGTAGGCGTCTCAGTCTCTTCAGGTCCACTTGGACTATGGAGAATTTCTCAAAAGCAGGATATAAAGTTTATATCTTGCCTCTTGAAGAATTTCTCATTGCAAGAGTCTCTATTTCATCCTCTCTAAGCTTGACCACAGACTTGCAGGACAGACCCACACAAGCTCCATTACTTGGGAAGGGATGTTTAAACATAAATGTCCCCTCCCTTTGTATTGGTGCACAGATGAGGCTACTGATGGCTTTCATAGCTCATTCCTCTCACTCTCCTAACCTAGTCTCTTTCACACACACAGTCACACAAGAAGTTAACACATTCCCTCCTTGGGACCCCTTACAAAGTACAACACAAAGCACAATGACAAATTGAGAATATACAAACAAAACAGTCACAAACAGCAAAGAGCAGAGGGTGATTAGACCTTCACTCTATAGTTTGCCCAAATTGAGGATATAAATCCTCACATATGACAAAGAATGGAGGGTAATCAGGCCTCCAATCTGTAACCTGCCCAAATGTTCAATTAAGAACCAAAACAAAGCAAGACAAACTAGGGAGCAGCCCAGGGGATCTCACCTTTCAGATGGACAAATTCATTCATTCTCCTTCCTTCTGCTCTTTCTGTTCTTGGTTCAAGTGATCTCCTGCCAGTGAGTGGGCCTCCAAGTGCTAAAAAGGGAACCCAGGAAATCCTGCAGGTGCACCTCTTCCCTTCCAAGAAGGCAGATGGCGCTCTGCTTCCGGCAGGGCTCAGGTCAAGACACAACACATGCCATATCAGTGAACCATTTCCTTCCTGGCCAATGCCCCAAATGTTATGGAGGGAATTGGTACTAAGATGTTGAAAAATGGAAGTAAAAATAAGAAAAAGATTTATTTTGTCATCAGAGGTCAATCACAGCTAATGGAAGTGTCCTTATTACCAAGTACTGGACTATAGCTTCCCCTTTTATAAGGTTTTACAGCCTTCATCTCATTCAGGTGGTTACATTTCATTCTCACAATGCACATTGTTGATATACAAATCAAGTTGCTAGACAGTTGAATTTTAACCCAGATGTAGCACTCCTTTGTTGTTAGGGGAGTTTACCTTTAAAATTTGTCTCACTATCTATTCTAGCCCAGGGAAAGGGGCATTCCTGGTCTGGAAAACAAAGTTAAGAATGATTCTTTTCATCTTGACTTTTATAATCATGTGGTTTACAAAACTTTGGGGCTCAGAGGGGTCTTGATGTGCCCTGTTATCTCAGGATGAGACCAGATGTCTCACTCAGTGGTTAATGTGTCCAGTGTCTGTTAATTCTAAACTAAACAAAGCAACCTGCTGTTAGGGACAGCAGAAGTCATTCTACATTGTGACATTTCACAGGCTTTTGCTATTAAAGTTTTCTCTATCAAAATGAGAATTATTTAACTAAGTGAATCAAAATAAATACCTTACAAGCTAAATTTGGCTCATTGTTCTGTGGTTAATGATATCATTTTATTGTTTAGATTCAGGTCATCACTTCTTAAAAAGTACTTAAGGGGGCTGGGGATTTATCTTAGTGGTTCCATCACTTGTCTTGAAAGCACAATGTGCCAAGTTCAATCCCCAGTAACCCCCCCAAAAGTACTTAAAGGACAGCTACATTTGACAGGCGTTTGCAGAGCAGGCAGTATAAAACCACGAGGAGATCTACTGAATCTACAGTCAGGTGATAAGGAGAAGCCCATGGAGCTGGTTGATGTGGGGACAAGAGCCTGGACTGGCACCAGGGCATCTGACTGGTCCTGTGGCCAGGCTGAGTGGGGAGCTCAGGGGCTGAGGGCCTTAGGCCCAGGTGCACCTGCCAGAGTTGGAGGGGAAAAGAAAGAGTTCTTTTTATTTTAGAGAGATGAAGAAAGCAATGTGTTTTCAAAGGAAAGGGATCTTTGGAAGTAGCTAAAAGTGCTGAGCGGCAGGCAATAGACTTGGTGCGAGGAACCAAAAGCAACAGGGAGAAATAAAGGAGGCTTGTGTAAGTTTCTGAAAGGATTAGATGAGCAGAGAAAAAGTTGATGTAAGTGAAAGAGTGGGGTATGGCTGGATCAAAGCAGCAAAAGAAGAGGGTCTGTGAGTGACTCTAGAGGATGGTAAAACCATTGAAGTGAATTAGAAGGTTGCCAGGCCTGGAGAAAGGGCACAGGAGCGGAACTCTAACCTGAAGGAGTTTGGAACTTGGGATACTTAATGGCTAACAAGACTTAGGATCATGTTCTGGTGGGGGAACAAAGTGATCAACAATTGGTGACATGGATGTTGTTGAAGCAGCTTTAAATTGTCTGTGGAATTGAAGTCATGAGTGGCCCTGGGCAATGTGATTGCAGTAGGAGTGATAGAGTGACCAGTAGCTTCTAATCATTGCCCCATTTCCTTTTACCAGACTATGGACACATTAAAAGCTTTCTTGTGGATGTTTGCATATCTTCAGAAGAGCACATTCATATCAAAGGGCTGTTTAGGAAATTAGAGTTTGAATTTCATCTAAAGGCACTAAAGAATAAACTGGATTTCTGTGAACATGACCTGATTTTTGCATTTCCTTTTGACATTGCAGGAACTAAGTAGTTCTTCAGGGAATCTGTAGCACCCATTCCCTCAGCTGACTTGTACGAAGCATTTTTCAAAGCTCCACTGTTAGGATCAGAAGAGAAGAATACAATTGCCTTGTTCCTTTTTAGTCTTATGGCTGATTGTACAGTTGATATATTAAGATATTTCTGTAACTTTCTCAGGATTGTTTCTCTTAGGTCCTGTGAGAATAAGACAGATAGGAGCAAATCTGCCAAAATCTTCAGACAAATAAAGGACATGAAAACATGTTTGCTAACATAGAAATAAAGCTATCATTACAAGTGCAGTAGTACAGGCTTAAACATTATACCTCAGACATTGAGTGTGCACTCGATTTTATGCTGTAAAGATTTCAACTATGTTAGATATTGATGGTCTCTCTGCTAGTCCATCATTGGAAAGCTTGGAAAGAAGTGAATGCAAAACCCTTCAATGGTACTGCCTAGCTATCTGTATCCCCAGTGTTTCTTATACCATTTACTAAGCCTAAACTGCCAGTAGATTCTTCTCATGGTCTCGCAAGTAAGAAAAAGAAATCAATCTTTCCTCTTTTGCCACATTATCTCTTCAGAAGCAGGACCACAATGGAATCAGTTCATTGTGATACAATCCCACAAAGATTATCTCAGAGTTATTCTTTCCTATAGCCATCCATGGAAACCACCTGATCAGGGAGGGTGTGCTAAGAGGGAACAAAAGTATTGAAGAGAAAAAGCTGCCAGGATAGAATCAGAAAAAGTAGGATGCTGCTCTTCTAATATCAGTCATAAAGAAAGGTTCAAAGATTTCTTAGTTTGAAATTTAGTCTGGTTTCTTAGTTTGAAATTTAGTCTGAAATGCAAATGGTTGTTCTGCAGCGAACAGGTATGAAAATGTTGATAGGGAACTTGTAAATGAAAAAGCTAAGCATAAGATTGACTCTAAAATTCATGCTTTTTAGCCCAGATGTTGATGAAAGATTACCAAAAAAATTTCAGTAAAAATCAATTAAGTCTAAGGAAAGCTTACTGCAGAGCAATGAGGTGAAACAAGTTACTGGATGCCTTGGACAGAACTTAGCAATTCAAATTTTTTGTAATAAAAATTCATCCAAACAAAGCTGTTCCATTAATGGGAAACCTTGAGGTGCAAAATGTTTCTTTGGAGCCTAAAATTACAGTTGAAGAGTCACACAGTGCATCACGTGAATTCACTCTGTCCATTTCCACAGCAAAACTAATAGCAAAATAATGGGAAGTTTCCTTAGTAGGAAAGAAAACAACAACCTCAGAGACATTGACAAAGATTCAGAAAGCATTTTCTGAGTTGGGGAATAATCTTTATGCATTGATAAGTCATAAGCATTCATACATAACTAATGTGGGGAAAGAAAATTAAAGAAAACATATTATGTAGATTGTAGCTCAGGAGAACATTTGCAGCTGATGATTTTACGATGAAGAGAATCAAAGGAAAATCATGAAACCTATGCTGTTAACTCAACTCAGATGAAGGTGGAACTTGGAAAAGACATTCACTCAAATTTACAAAGATAGTTTAGACCAGAAAGAATTCCCCATTTATGAAAAATTTAGGTAACGAGTCCTTAAGGGATAAACTCAATACTTAGTCAAAGGAAGATGAAAATGTTTTGAATAAAACTTAGTGAAATATGTCCTTCCTATTGTGAAGGATAAATTTGCTTCTTCTCAGCAGAGTACATGTAATATAGCAAACCTATAGTCCTATGAGAATTGCTAAACTCTTCTACAATGATGGAAACATGCAATAAAGTGGTTCCTGAAATTGCACACAGGACAGAACAGAGAAAGTCTTCAGATCACACACAATGGTTTAACAAACTTTCATTAAATTGAGTCAAATAGAACAAAAGCAAAACAATCCCTTAAGTTTTAGCATACTACTGTTGTCAGTGGAAGAATTAATTCTTCATTGGAATATAGCAGACAACCTCTAAGGAAGACGTTGACATATCTTGGTGATGGTGCTTCTCCTTTGGTTAAATCAGTGAATTGTCACAGTGTCCTTCTTGCATATAGAAAGTATACCAAAAGAGTTCTCCATTTGATTTACCAAATCAGGTCCTAAGGAACAGAAGTCTGCATTGCATGAAAATTCAAAAGATACAATTTCAAAATCAAACATTGAGTATACTTGTAAATCGTTCTTAAGGAGGTATAGGCATCTTTGGATGACCTGATCTGACCAATCATGTTTCATTTAGATCAGTTTCAAAGAACAATATTTGTCTTTCTCCTGGAATGAAAAACCAGCTGCTCAGGAAGCCATCAGAAAGAAAAAGGGCATGGTACAAAGATTCTCTGAAAATCCCTATGGGAAAGCTTCAAATCCTACCAACAAGTAACCCTATGGATTTGTAATTGGCAAACACAGTTGCTCAGAATGTAAATAAAATTTGTAATTGTTGATACAATTTTCAGGGTAATGTATGTGTTAGTTTTTAGCTCAGAATGATTGCTAAACTATAGATCTTCTGTGAAACATCTTAATTTCACAGTATCAGCTACATAGATTTCCATACGTGTACATATCATTACTTTTTTTTCTTAATGATGGCATTAATTTGGGTTAAATTGTTTTGTGATATTTGCAAGCAAAGGTTATACTTTACTGTTTTCTTATTTAAGTTTACTGGTATATTTCAGGTATACAATACACTTACATTCATCATTGGAATCTTGTACCTTTAACATGATATATCTTGTTTTTTCCTTTCATTGAGTTTATTGGTACTTTTTAGGTGTACAGTACAGTTACAGTCATCATTGGGATCTTGTACCTTTACATGATGTATCTTGTTTCTTATTTTTCCCCATACCCCTGCCCTCCCTTTGCCCTCTCCACCCTTCCCTACTTACAAAGACTTTGTTTCCAATATTTTTGTTTTTCTCACATTTTTTCTTTTCCTTTCTTACCTTTCCCCTACCCCTAGCACTTCCCCTACTCCTTTAGAACTTTTCTTCCTATTGCACAACATCAATTATACATTCTGATCCTTATTTAAAATTTTAGTTTTTCATACCAGAGAAACTATTTGGTATTTACACATGTGTATCATATTAATTTTACTTAAGAATATGGCCTCAATATGTATCCACTTATCTATAAATGTCTCTAGTTTCTCATTCTTTATGACTGAATAGTATTCTATTTTATACAAGGAAAAAAAAAACTTTTATCCAGTTTCCAACTGTTGGGTAACTGGGCTCTTTCCAAGTTTTAGCTATTACAAACTGTGCTGCTATAAACATGGGTGTGCTTACATCACTGTAGTATGATTCTTTTAATTCTTTAAGGATGTTACCCATTGTGGGAATAGCTAGGTCAAATGGGACTTCTAATCCTAGTTGTCTGAGGTATTGATTTCCATAATGGTTGTATCAGTCTGCACTCCCACCAACAGTGGAGAAAGGTCCCTTTCTCTTCACAACCCCACCGACAAGTATACTTTACTGTTTTAACAAACTTTCTAACTGTATTTATTAAAAGAATAACATCTGATAATTGGGTGGTTTTCAATTGTAAGTATGCTAAGAAGAGCCAGTTTTGTCTTTCTTGTTATTCCTCTAAATCAGATAGGTTTCTGTAACAGATCTAAAAGCTAATGTAAACAACAGAGATTTTGTGTCTTGAATTATATTAATGTTCATTGTCTTTTCCCAAATCTCTACAAACTACGTTGTAAAACAACTTAGCATGCTAAGTTTTTCTTCTTATTGGAGGCACAGGCAGTTTGGCTTTTTGCTCCTGTACTTGTACTGCCTGTTCACTTGAACTAAGAGCAATGACTGAAGCAGAAGGACCACTGACATGTGCTCTTACATTTCAATGTACAAGTAACTGATTACTTTGAAGCCATGCTGTGTTCTTGTATTTAATTTGCACAAATGCATGACTTCCTATTTTGCTTAACATACAAAGGAAATAATTGAAGGAAAAATAGTTACAGTTGAAAATATAAATCAGTGTGATTATATTTGTATGTAGACCTGGATTTTAGAATTTGAAGAGTGGATGCACTTCTGTACATTTTACTTCAGTAAAAAATTATGACAGTCATGTGTATTATTTACTGGAGATACTGAAGATAACTTTCTGGAAAAATAAGTAATTTTAGAAATTATTTTATTTCCTAAGTCTCTCAATATATTTGAATTTATTGTTTAATCCAAAGACTATTATGTCAAATATGTGATGAATCAAATATCTTATGTAAAATCTTTAAAATTCCTAGATTAAATTAATAAATATAATTGACATTGCTATCTTATAACTATCTTTTCTAATAAATTTAATGGTATTAGTATCAAGTAAATGAAAATATATCTCTATTTATTTATAAGAAATACCTTTTTTAGTGGAAATTTCTCTTTAACAAAAAATTTACCTTATTAATTTATATTATTAAAGCAGAAAATGAATTATATTCTTAGACATTCATGCTTACTTAATATTTTATTATTATTTGTAGTATTTATCCACAAAATATTTTCTGAAATTATAATTAAATTAGAATATATCAGCCAGGGATGGTGGCACACACCTGTAATCTCAGTACTTGGGAGGCTGAGATAGAAAGATCACTGTGAGTTTGAGACCAGCCTGGGCTACATAGTGAGTTCCAGCTCAGTCTCAACTACATAGTGAGACCCTGTCTCAAAAAAAAAAAAATAAAAAGAATTTATCAAATAGAATGAAATTTCAGGATATGCAAATATTAAATGTATGTAGGTCTTTGTTTTATATTTTAAAAATAATATCAAGTTCAGTTGTAGCACAACAAAAATAGAAATTTTTTATTGGCCATGCATTCTGAACTTGCTGTGAGGTAGGATCATAGTATTAATTTCTTACATTGTATATAAAACAGTATTTTGAGAGTATGTCACAGGGCCAAGAATTTAGTTCAGTGGTCCTGCCACCTGCCTTGCAAGTGCAAGGTCCTGAGTTTGGTCCCTGGAACAACAACAACAACAAAGTAAAAGAGAGTATATCACAACTGGTTATATGTATATGAAAAATAATTCATTAGTATAATACACATAATAATTTACCTTGTAGTGTTTACTCATTTGTTTAAAATGTTAATAAAAATTGAAGCAGACAGTAATAATCATTTAAGGATAAATCATGAGGATATGGCAATATAATTTTAGACATTTTAAAATTATGAAATGTTGCTTAAATTATACCCTCCATGAAAGAAATTATAGATTCTTAAAGGATTATATTTGCAATTTCTGAACACAAAAAAGTATAATCAACACTGATGTCACAAAAGTATATTGCTCAGAATTCATGTCATAAATTGAGCACAAAATCGAAGTTACTTCATTTTTCAGATCTAAACAATAATCGTGTATGTTGTTTAGCATTGACTAAAACATTTTCTCAGACTTTATAAGTGATTTATCTCCTTATGTTC